AGTGAAGTCTCTGGTATAACTGGTGTAACTCCATCTAATTGCTGTAACTGAGCTCTCTCGTGATAACAGCAATTCATCCACAGGACAGAAAAAAAAATGGAAAAAAAAATATGTCTGAATCTGCCAATGGCCAATTTATTGGCTTTTATTTGCCAACGTGTGCTGTGGGTGAGGTATAGGAAAATGTATCCACGGTCAGCCTGTAGTGTTTGCCTCCAAGACACTCTTCCAAGCCCAGCAGAACATTCTGCAGTTGTTCTCATATGCTTCTTATCCAAAAATGCCTTCATGCCCAGCAGTTCAAGAAGCAATTCTGTTCCAACCAGATTAAGAAAAGGAAGAAAAAAAAAAAAGAAAAAAAAAAGAGGGATTTCTGGGGACCACTCTTAAAACTCCTATATCTCCAGCTCAATATCTGTATTCAACCCGTTCTGCTCACTGCTCAGTCCCAATTACAATGAACGAGCTCGCTGCTCAGTCCCAATTACAATGAATGTATTTAATTTCCTCTTTGATTTCCCTTCAACAACAGATTGCAACTTGTGACACTTCAAGTAATTTTGGTAGCTCATTTAACACACACTGAAACCTGAATATCTGCTGATTATGTTCCCAAGCTCTGGCTCATTGCAATAAAGGATGGAGAAAGGAGATGCAATCTCTGGAGATTGAGAACCTGAACATGATTACTGCTGGATGAAAACTTGTTTTGTCCCGGTAGTCTTGGGGTACAGCTAGAATCTTTCATGAATGATTAACGAACTATATGCAGATCAATGAAACTCTGCCCTAAATGTATCCGTAACCAACTTACTTGGGGGGCAAAGAAGTCTAACCAGCCAGTATCCTGTAATTTACAACTCTTGATGTCGTGAAAAGGAGTAATTCATCTCGTTTACTGTGGCTGGTTTCTCAAGCCCAGGTACCTGAGTCACCTAAGTGATTTTTTTTCCCCTTTCCTGCTTCCTACTCAGCATTAAAGTTACTATGTTGTGGGTTGACCTCCAATATCCGTGTTCATATTGAGGAGAACCTTCCTCCATCAGTAACCCCACTGATTCTAAGAACTGAGAATTCAGGATTATACTAATTATTGGTGAACACATTGAAGTATAACTCAACCACCTATCTAGAGAATATTAAGCTTCCCATAAAGCACTTTTTAGTGCTAAGTCTTGGAGATCTTTAAATTCTGCCAGCAACATCAAACTTCAAAATTATTCCTTATCCCTAATTTCTATAACCAGCGTAGTCACTTACTTCCAGGAATAATAAAGACTGTAGAACATATTCTCATCTTTCTTGATGGATGATGAGTTGGCCTTAGTAAAGTTGCTAATGATGTAAAATAAAATGCAAATTAAATAGCACAATCAAAATCAAGCTATTAAAAAAAATAGTCATGCAGGCAGTATATGATACTAACTACCACCCTTTTGCTTACATTGTTACATAGATAATACCAGCATATTAGAAACATAATAAATCACAGAAAGCTGTTTCTCTAGCCCAGAGTTTCTCAAACTATGGGTCACGACCCTCCATGGGGATCCATGAATGAGTTTGAATGAGGTCACAAAAAAACTGTTAGCAAGAAGCAAGGGCAGATTTTTCCCCCTAAGTTGAGCAGCCCAATCCTCTAGCAGGGGAACAAGAGAGCAGACTGTAATTACTAGCTGCAAGTATTTATACTTGCTAGGGAACTGCTAACTACTTTTAATTACAACAGCTCACTTTCTCCAGGAAAGGGGAGCAATATAGGCAAGAATTAAAATTGCAGATAGTTGCTAACTGACTTTCATTGCAGGCAATAGATCTGTTTCCCCAGGGAGGAAGAGTAAACTTGCAACTGGATCTTATTCCCCCATCGTTTAGAAATGGGGCCATTACCAACTCAGGGGGTCACACAAATATGCAATCAACAGGGTTGTATTTTCAAACCATGTAAGAAAGAAATCAATAGTCTCATTTATAGAATATGCAACCACCAAGCAAAGAGTTAGGTGCCCCATGCAATCTGCATTGCATCCTGGTGAAGAAGGACGTTTATTAAAGGACTTAAAATGAGAAGCTAATTGAAAAAGTAGAACGATCGCAGTGAAAAGCACTTGTATGTTTCTCTCTGCTGCCTTGCCTGTCATCTGAACCCACTTTCTTGCCCAGAGTAGATCGCCTTTTCAAAGCTGTCAACAACTGGATGTACCAAGATGGAAACTGAAGATCGGTGCTTGAGGCCGCAGTCCCACACTGCATGGCCTGGCTTGGTTAGCACTGATGAGAGTCCTCTCCTCTTCCCTCCTGAGGGCAGCTTTCATCAAGACTGGAAGACAAAGTATCCAGCTCTTCTCCCTCTCTCAAAATTAGGGATTTTAGGGAAATACAAGAGTGATATGCATCCCACATCTTCATGTTAGGGGCTTTTAGTGTCACCACTTGAGGTCTCTGTAAGGAACATGACGCCTGTGGCTACAGAGCAGCCTGTGTTCTTCAGTGCCCTCTGGCTATTGCAGCCACCAGGTACCTTGCTCCAGGTCCCCAGAAGGGAATGAGAGCCGTATCAGGTGAAAGCAACTTTACTGGCAGACATCTCAGCAGCGAGGGTCTCAGCTGCACAATGCCCCACAGTCCCCTTCCCATTCTCACACCGCACCCTGCGATGTGACACCCTCTCCCTGGGGAAGCAGCTCAGAGAAGAAATCCAGTTTGCAAATAACCTAGGGGAAAAAAAAAAAGAAAAAGAAAACATGGAAAAAGTCTTATTTTTCAGCTGGATCAGTCTCCCAACCTGTTGCATCGCACAACCACAAGAGCACCTGTGGTGGCCTGAGCCAAGAGTGGGGAACATTAAAAGTGGTTTAATCGGCACTGCCACGTAGTTGTGAGGGAAAGCCTAGCCCTGACTGCTGGCAGGAATGAAGAAGGAGAGGTGACCTGAATGGTGTCTACACAACTTGGCCTTGGAAAAGAGCTCTGATAGTGAGAGGAAGCTCCTGAGTTTTGGAGACAAAAGCATAACACAGCACAGGGGTCAGCATCAAAGCTGGGCAGCTCAAAACTCAAGATGGACATAGCTTCCTGCTAGTGATGGTGATTAGACACGGGAGGAGATGAACTTGCATTGGCCCAGGGCGTTAAAGATGAGATTAAGGCATAAGACCTCCATTTTGAGCCTCTCCTGCGTTTGATGAAAGTGTCATAACAAGCCCCTTGCAGAGGAGAGAGCAAAAGTGGTGCCAGTGCAGAACTGCAGAACTGCTCCCATCAAGGCCTGCCCCGTACCCAATGGCCTGGACAGCGTGGACAGGGTTGTATCCAAAGTGTGTGCAAATAGGATGACCTGCTGGATAAAGTGAAAAATACCAGGCTCCCCATATTGTTTTCCTAACATTAAAACCAGCACATTCATGCTATGGGCGTGCTCCCACTCCCACTGTAGACTGTCAATGCGAAGGAAAAACCTCTCCTGTGAGCCATGCCAGCCACAGGGGATGCAGCATAGCCCTTGTCTCCTGACAATTTGCTATGTGATACTCAGCAAACTACTTTTCCCTAAGGAACCCAGGAGGCCCAAATTATTCAAGAAGGTTCCCTGAGCAGAAGTCCTGGCTCCAAAATCAAGTTGAAACCCTTCCCAAAGCATTTCTACACTCCTGTCAGATCTGCAGGGATCCACTCAGGGGTTCTTTTCACACATTTCTGTGAAACACTCTGTAACTGCAACCACAAGTCAGGTTTTATCAAGTTTTTCTTTGCAGCCTGTCAGCAGCATTTTGACTAGCCAGAAAGGTTACCTCCATGCCAGGCCAGGTTGGATGGGGCTTTGAGCAACCTGGTCTAGTGGGAGGTGTCCCTGCCTGTGGAAGGGAGGTTGGGACTAGATGATCTTTAAGGTCCCTTCCAACTTAATCCATGCCATCATTCTATGCCCTCTGGTGCTGAGCAGGATGCCTGCAAGCCGTGTGGCTTGTTCAGGAGTAGGGATGCAGCCCCCAGCAGCCTAAGAAGCTAGGGAGAATGGTTTCAGAACATATCTACCAGTAACTGCAAGGAGAAAATCAGCGTTTAATTCCCTGCCCCTGGACTCTCCATACTGCTGAGCTTTGTGTCCCCTCTGTGCCAGGTGAGGCACAGCCTGGACAGGTATGGCTGGGAAAGGGATGCTCTGGGCAGCTCCAAGTAGAATGGAGGCTTTAGAGTAGATTTAAAAAACATTATGGATTTCATCTTTGCTTCGCAGCTGGTTACTGTGCCGAAGCCATGAATCACACCACTTGAAGTGATTGAAGGAGGGGAAAGAATAATAATAATAAAGTGGCAAACTAGCTCAGGGATAGGCTTGGGAGTCCTATTAAACTTGAGAGGCTACGATTTCTATTCCCAGAACTGCTGGTTAACACAAGAACAAGCACCATGCTTCCCCACCCCATCCAAAGCGTTGTACTAGGCAAAAACTGAGGAGCAAACCAGCAACAGGTCAAATCTGCACTGTGTAGTCAAAAGTTGCCAGCAGATTAATATGGCAGCGCTCATGAAAAGTCTGCAGCAGCTCTGGCAAGCTTTGCAGAATTTATAATTATAGCTACGGGCTTCATCGCAAAAGGAACCAAATATGTGATGTTTGTTTCTGTGGAAGAATGGGAGGAGACTAATGGTAAAGGAGAGGGAGTGGGAGTGCGGAAGCGGGGAGAGGGGAAGGCAGAGAACCGAGCCCTGCCGAGGTTTCAGGGACCCGCAGAAAAAATCGTCTAAATAGAGTAGTTCAGACCTCAAATACCGTGCAGTGCTTTGACAATCTTCTGGTTTATGGCATACTTAACAAAGTGTTCTTACGTTTACTAGGCTGGAATGTCCATTTGACTATAGACTCTCTGCTACTTTGCTCTTACTTTAACATTTTGGACACGTGACAAAAATGTGTGTAACGCATTTTTTAAAGTGTTGATTGTGCTCGTAATTTTCAAGTCAGAATATAAAATAAACATCTCTGCCCTTTCTTCCAGCAGGCAGCACAGAGATCTGCTCTCCGCGTTCTATCTGACAGGTACATTTTGTCATTTTTATGAACTATAAATTGCTTTATGAAACGTTGAGCCCTATTTATTGTGGCATATAACTCATAATCGGATTTTGTCCCCAAAGTATCTGTGAACTGGGATGTTAAACATTTTGCATGCTTGGATTTGTCATGCATGTGTAGAGTTTATTACTGCAAAAATCACAGTCTTGTTGTATTTCATACAGAGTATGCAGAATCCCTTGTTGTGATACCAAACGAGAGATAAGAAACTTACTGGAGAAGGCATGAATGATGCAGTAAATTCTGAGCTTTAGAGTTTGCTGAGATATATCTGAGCTCATTTTTCAGCAATAAGTACTTCATTTATTCCGAGATGTTCTCTTTTGACTTTTTCCAAATCCTTTCCCTGGGAATTAGTCTTCTTTTGATGAGATTCTCTGTACGTTTTATGCACAAAAACAATGCCCTTTTTTACCCCTTAAGTTTTGAGGGATTGGTATTTTGGAGGAATTTAATTCATTTTTTCACTTTTTCTGGAACTGCAGCAGTGCTCCAGGCAGATAAGCAGGGGACCAAATCCTCAGACAGTGTTCAGGTTTTACTCAGCTCTTTTTCAAGCAAAACTCCATTAACTTCAGTGGGAAACTTGCCCAAGTGAGGAATTCAGGATTTGGGCCATAGTAAATGTTGTAGTTGGGCCATAGGTCTGCACAGGTATTTACCTTAAATGACTTTTATGAAAGAGGATTGATTGAAATATAAGGTAGCTTTCTAAGACGGTCCTGATTTCTTTTCCAGTTTTGGGAACGGGGGGAGGGAAGGGGGAGGAGAGACTGTACATTTTAGTGCCTGTGAAAAAGAACTAGCAGATTTACATTTATCCACAAATGAGGTACTGTGTCATGCAGGCTGACACAGAGTAAATTTCCCCATGCCTTGTTGGCAGCCCCCTCTGCTCCGTCTGGCCCCCCGCCCCCCGCCTCCCTGGGAATAAGCGGTAATTGACTCTGGAAGCCAGCTCAGGCCAGGATTTCTCCAGAGCAGAGCCTGTCACTTAGGCTGAATTATATGTTGTGCATGGATGAATAACATTTCTCTCTGCTCTGAGGCTAAGACCGCCAAAATTATTGACCTTCCCCCCCCTCCCCAAGTTTACAAACACCGTTTTGTTTAGAATCCCCCCCAAAACCCCCAGGAAAAAAATTCCCAACTTGAAATGTATGGGATGCGGGTGAAATTGCTGGTGCGGTTTTAGGGTACACAAGTATTTGCTGTAACTGGGACAAATGCAAAAAGAAAGAGGAGTCAAAGTGAGCATTATGCCCCTCTCCCTGGAGGTGGGCAGGCTTGCCCCTGAGGCAAAGCAGCTTTTGCACTTCGTGGGGACAATAGCGTGACCAAAGAAAATGTGGTGGGATTTTTTTCTCAGCATCCTTCTCCTGGGCTGAGT